GAGAGAGACACGCAAACTCTAAACATACAGCAGCAGGCATCGTCAGGGTCGGGATCGAACCCACGACCTCCTGCAGACCAGGCGAGGCGGTTAACATCTCGCAACTGTGATGATGATGATGAGAGAGACACGCAAACTCTAAACATACAGCAGCAGGCATCGTCAGGGTCGGGATCGAACCCACGACCTCCTGCAGACCAGGCGAGGCGGTTAACATCTCGCAACTGTGATGATGATGATGAGAGAGACACGCAAACTCTAAACATACAGCAGCAGGCATCGTCAGGGTCGGGATCGAACCCACGACCTCCTGCAGACCAGGCGAGGCGGTTAACATCTCGCAACTGTGATGATGATGATGAGAGAGACACGCAAACTCTAAACATACAGCAGCAGGCATCGTCAGGGTCGGGATCGAACCCACGACCTCCTGTACACCAGGCGAGGTAGTTAACATCTCCTAGCCACCGTGATGATGATGATGAGAGAGAGACACGCAAACTCTAAACATACAGCAGCAGGCATCGTCAGGGTCAGGATCGAACCCACGACCTCCTGCGTACCAGGCGAGGCAGTTAACATCTCGCGACCATGCCGCCCTTCCGCGTACAGTGAGGGAAACCGGCATCAATCCTCATCTTCCCGTGCCTATCTCGCAGTGAATTGTGGGGGGGAACAGAGAGAATGCTGGGTAGTCAAAGGTGTTCCCGGGGAGGCTCTTTTGCCGTTAGGTGCTCGGAGAGACGAGGCCCTTCGGGAGGGTCATTTTCCTGCGCTCCGCCGTCGGACTCCTGTGTTCTTTTTGATTGTTTTGATCGTTACATTTCATCGACGGCGATGCATCGACGGACGAATAAACGCAACGGATGCAATCGGCGAACGCTGAGCGGCGACTTTCTGTCGAGTACACTTTTTACGGTCGAATGTGAGTCGAGGGAGAGCCCAATTGGGAGCCCCCCCCCCCTCTCCTCACCCCGTTGTCATCAAGAGTCATCGGAAGATGTGTTACTGGTAGGAACCTCCTGGTTACACCAGCCCACAGGGGATTATTGTGTCCGTCCGTCCGTCGTGCAGGGAGGGGCTGGGTGGGGAGGGAGGGGCTGGGTGGGGAGGGTGGGGAGTTGCTGAGTGGGGAGGGTGGGGAGGGGCGGAGTGGGGAGGGTGGGGCTGGGGTGGGGAGGGGCTGGGTGGGGGGAGAGGGAGGGGCTGGGAGGGGAGGGTGGGGCTGGGTGGGGAGGGAGGGGCTGGGTGGGTGGGGTGGGGAGGGGTGGGGCTGGGTGGGGAGGGTGGGGCTGGGTGGGGAGGGGAGGGGCTGAGTGGGGAGGGGCTGGTCACCCCGTGGTGCCCTGATAAAACTCAACGTTTAACCTACTCACGCCGGCTTGTGCCCGCCCTCACAGTCGGGCATATTTGCGGAATACACCACGCCGCCGTTGACCCTGCAGGCCATTGACCGAGCAACCCGACGTTCCTACCAGCTCCCTCCGCAGGAAGAATGTGTTCATACTGGTGGAATCCGATGAGCTTTGAAGTTGTTATTTTTTTGTCTCCGCATGCGTAAAATAGTCTCTCGCTCCTAACACCGCGCACACGGCGTCTGTGAGAACAAGATCTTCATAGCTCTTCGGATTTACAGCGGCGGTGTGAATCTGTAGGATTTACATAGTGTATAGTGGAGTGTGTAGTAGTGTATAGTAGTGTAGTGTATAGTGTAGTGTATACTAGTGTGTTGTGTATACTACTGTAGTGTAGTGTGTAGTAGTGTATAGTGTGGTGTAGTGTGCAGTAGTGTAGTGTATAGTAGTGTATAGTGTAGTGTGTAGTAGTGTAGTGTATAGTGTAGTGTATAATTTAGTGTATAGTGTAGTAGTGTAGTGTAGTGTGTAGTAGTGTAGTGTATAGTAGTGTAGTGTATTATGTAGTGTATAGTGTAGTGTGTAGTAGTGTAGTGTATTGTGTATAGTAAGGTAGTGTATAGTGTATAATAGTGTAGTGCATAGTAGTGTAGTGTATTGTGTATAGTGGTGTAGTGTATAGTAGTGTAGTATATAGTATAGTGTGTAGTAGTGTAGTGTATAGTAGTGTAGTGTAGTAGTGTAGTGTATAATGTAGTGTATAGTAGTGTAGTGTATTGTGTATAGTAGTGTAGTGTGTAGTAGTGTATAGTGTAGTGTATAGTAGTGTAGTGTATTGTGTATAGTAGTGTAGTGTATAGTGTAGTGTGTAGTAGTGTAGTGTATTGTGTATAGTAGTGTAGTGTGTAGTAGTGTATTGTATTGTGTATAGTAGTGTGTATAATGTGTAAAGTAGTGTATAGTGTAGTGTGTAGTAGTGTAGTGTATAATGTAGTGTATAGTGTAGTGTATAATGTAGTGTATAATGTAGTGTATAGTGTAGTGTATAATGTAGTGTATAGTGTAGTGTATAATGTAGTGTAGTGTGTAGTAGTGTAGTGTATTGTGTATAGTAGTGTATAGTGTATTGTGTATAGTAGTGTAGTGTATTGTGTATAGTAGTGTGTATAATGTGTATAGTATAGTGTAGTGTATGTAGTGTATAGTGTAGTGTATAGTGTATAGTGTAGTGTATAGTGTAGTGTATAATGTAGTGTATAGTGTAGTGTATAGTGTAGTGTATAGTGTAGTGTAGTGTATAGTGTAGTATATAATGTAGTGTATAGTGTAGTGTATAATGTAGTGAGTGTATAGTGTAGTGTATAATGTGTATAATGTAGTGTATAGTGTAGTGTATAGTGTAGTGTATAATGTAGTGTATAGTGTAGTGTATAATGTAGTGTATAGTGTAGTGTGTAGTAGTGTAGTGTATAATGTAGTGTATAGTAGTGTAGTGTATTGTGTATAGTAGTGTAGTGTGTAGTAGTTGTATAGTGTAGTGTATAGTAGTGTAGGTATTGTGTATAGTAGTGTAGTGTATAGTGTAGTGTGTAGTAGTGTAGTGTATAATGTAGTGTATAGTGTAGTGTATAATGTAGTGTATAATGTAGTGTATAGTGTAGTGTATAATGTAGTGTATAGTGTAGTGTATAGTGTTGTGTGTAGTGTATAATGTAGTGTAGTGTGTAGTAGTGTAGTGTATTGTGTATAGTAGTGTATAGTGTATTGTGTATAGTAGTGTAGTGTATTGTGTATAGTAGTGTGTATAATGTGTATAGTATAGTGTAGTGTATGTAGTGTATAGTGTAGTGTATAGTGTAGTGTATAGTGTAGTGTATAATGTAGTGTATAGTGTAGTGTATAGTGTAGTGTATAGTGTAGTGTATAGTATAGTGTAGTGTATAGTGTAGTATATAATGTAGTGTATAGTGTAGTGTATAATGTAGTGAGTGTATAGTGTAGTGTATAATGTGTATAATGTAGTGTATAGTGTAGTGTATAATGTAGTGTATAGTGTAGTGTATAGTGTAGTGTATAGTGTAGTGTATAATGTAGTGTATAATGTAGTGTATAGTAGTGTATTGTGTATAATGTAGTGTATAGTGTAGTGTATAATGTAGTGTATAGTGTAGTGTATAATGTAGTGTATAGTGTAGTGTATAGTGTAGTGTATAGTGTATAATGTAGTGTATAGTGTAGTGTATAGTGAAACCCACTACAACATTTACAATTCGAGTGGCCGTGACGGATTTTTGCTGCCGGTAATGAAAACAACAAAACCAGCATCATCAGGCGCACAGCACAGAGGTAATAGGAATCGAAGAGTCGAGAAGGAGAGTCTAAGAATCGATTCCGAGGTAAAGGAACCGATCAAGGTAATAGGAATCGAAGAGTCGAGAAAGGGGATTCTAAGAATCGATTCCGAGGTAAATTATTAAATCAAAGAGGAATCGAAAGAGTCGAGAAGGGGTAGTGTAAGAATCGATTCCGAGGTAAATAAACCGATCAATAGGAAGAGAAGTGTCTAGTGGAGATTCTTGGAATCGATTCCGAGTAAGGGAATCAGTCAAAGAAATAGGAATCGAAGAGTGGGGCAGCTGATTCTAAGAATCGATTCCAAGTGAAATAAATAAAGTGGAATCGATTTGGTGGTAAAGTAAGAGGAATCGAAGACCCGTGTTAGGGCGTGCGAGGAATCGATTCTTAGACGCGTTCCATTGAAAGAGGCGGAGGAATCGAAGAAACATTTTAACGGAATAAATGTAATCGATAATCGATAAATGCGGGTTGGCGTCGAAGAGGACGTGGAAGGAGACACGACGGGACCTGAAGAGAATTCGATTCGCAACGTGGCGGAATCGATAGGGGGCCCCCACGATTTTATTGGAATCGATGTCCAAGAAATCGATATAACGGAGGAATCGACGAATCGACTCCACCCACCACCTACTGTAGTCGCCTGAGTACAGTGCCGAGTGTTTCCGTGGCCGCGACTTTTCCCTTCAACCCCTGAACCTTCAACCCCTGAACCTTCAACCCCTGAACCTTCAACCCCTGAACCTTCAACCCCTGAACCTTCAACCCCTGAACCTTCAACCCCTGAACCTTCAACCCCTGAACTCCCCAGGAACCCTCGCGCTACTCCACCACTCCACCATCACTCCACCACCATCACCACCACTCCACCATCACCTCCTCCACCACCATCACTCCACCACCATCACCACCACTCCACCATCACCTCCTCCACCACCTCCATCACCTCCACCATCACTCCAACTCCACCACTCCACCACTCCACCTCCACCACTCCACCTCCACTACTCCACTTCCACCACCTCCACCACCCCACACCACAACCATCCCCACCACCATCTCCACCTCCACCACTCCACCACCACTCCATCTTCACCACCTCCACCAACCACTCCACCATCACACCACCACCATCACCACCTCACCCCACCACCCTCCACCCCTACCACCACTCCATCACCACCACTCCACCCTACCACTCCACCCCCACCACCTCACCCCCACCACCACCCCACCACACCACCACCCCCACCACTCCACCCCTCCACCAACAACAACCACCTCACCCCTACCACACCACCCCTACCACTCAACCCCTACCACTCCACCCCTACCCCACCACTCCCCCCTACCACACCACCCCCCGTGTCTCTCACCGGAGCAGCTTGAAGACGAACACGAGCCACAACGAGGTCAGAACCCCGCCGGCAGCTGTCATCGTTACCATCGTTACCATCGGTATCGTTATCATCGTTATCACCCCACTCCTTACACCCCCAGAACCTCGCCTAGCCCCTCCCCCTCACCCTTACAACCCCCAGACCTCGCCTAGCCCCTCCCCCTCACTCCTTACACCCCCAGACCTCGCCTAGCCTCCCCCTCACTCCTACACCCACGGACCTCGCCTAGCCCCCCCCCTCACTATCCTTACACCCCCAGACCTCGCCTAGCCCCCCCCCCTCACTCCTTACACCCCCAGACCTCGCCTAGCCCCCCCCCCCTCACTCCTTACACCCCCAACCTCGCCTAGCCCCTCCCCCTCACTCCTTACACCCCCAGACCTCGCCTAGCCCCCCCCCTCACTCCCTTACACCCCCCGACCTCGCCTAGCCCCTCCCCCTCACTCCTTACACCCCCAGACCTCGCCTAGCCCCTCCCCCTCACTCCTTACCACCCCCAGACCATCGCCTAGCCCACTCCCCCTCCCTCCTTACACCCCCAGACCTCTGCCTCGCCCCCTCCCCCTCCCTGCCCTACACCCCAGACCTCGCCCTAGCCCCTCCCCTTCACTCCTTACACCCCTCAGACCCTCGCCTAGCCCTCCCCCTCACTCACTTACCACCCCCAGACCTCCGCCTAGCCCCCCCCCCTCACTCCTTACACCCCAAGACCTCGCCTAGCCCCTCCCCCTCACTCCTTACACCCCCAGACCTCGCCTAGCCTCCCCAGCACCTTACACCCCAGCCTCGCCTAGCCTCACTCCTTACACCCCCAGACCTCGCCTAGCCCCCCCCTCATCCTTAACCCCCAGACCTCGCCTAGCCCCCCCCTCACTCCTTACACCCCAGACCTCGCCTAGCCCCCCCCCTCACTCCTTACACCCCCAGACCTCGCCTAGCCCCCCCCCTCACTCCTTACACCCCCAGACCTCGCCTAGCCCCCCCCCCCTCACTCCTTACACCCCCAGACCTCGCCTAGCCCCCCCCCTCACTCCTTACACCCCCAGACCTCGCCTAGCCCCCCCCCCCTCACTCCTTACACCCCCCAGACCTCGCCTAGCCCCCCCCCTCACTCCTTACACCCCCAGACCTCGCCTAGCCCCCCCCCCTCACTCCTTACACCCCCAGACCTCGCCTAGCCCCCCCCTCACTCCTTACACCCCCCAGACCTCGCCTAGCCCCCTCACTCTTACACCCCCCAGACCTCGCCTAGCCCCCCCCTCACTCCTTACACCCCCCAGACCTCGCCTAGCCCCCCCCCCCTCACTCCTTACACCCCCAGACCTCGCCTAGCCCCCCCCCCTCACTCCTTACACCCCCAGACCTCGCCTAGCCCCCCCCCCCCTCACTCCTTACACCCCCAGACCTCGCCTCGCCCCCCCCCTCACTCCTTACACCCCCAGACCTCGCCTAGCCCCCCCCCCTCACTCCTTACACCCCCCAGACCTCGCCTAGCCCCCCCCCTCACTCCTTACACCCCCAGACCTCGCCTAGCCCCCCCCCTCACTCCTTACACCCCCCAGACCTCGCCTAGCCCCCCCCCCCCTCACTCCTTACACCCCCAGACCTCGCCTAGCCCCCCCCCTCACTCCTTACACCCCCAGACCTCGCCTAGCCCCCCCCCCCTCACTCCTTACACCCCCAGACCTCGCCTAGCCCCCCCCCCTCACTCCTTACACCCCCAGACCTCGCCTAGCCCCCCCCCTCACTCCTTACACCCCCAGACCTCGCCTAGCCCCCCCCCTCACTCCTTACACCCCCCAGACCTCGCCCTAGGCCCCCCCACCCTCACTCCTTACAAAACCCCCCAGACCTCTGCCTAAGCCCCCCCCCCTCACTCCTTACAACACCCCCAGACCATCGCCTAGCCCCCCCCTCACTCCTTACACCCCACCATACCTCGTCCTAGCCCCCCCCCCGCCTCACTCTCTTACCACCCCCAGACCTCGCCTAGCCCCCCCCCCTCACTCCTTACACCCCCCAGACCTCGCCTAGCCCCCCCCCTCACTCCTTACACCCCCAGACCTCGCCTAGCCCCCCCCCCTCACTCCTTACACCCCCCAGACCTCGCCTAGCCCCCCCCCCCACTCCTTACACCCCCAGACCTCGCCTAGCCCCCCCCCCTCACTCCGTACACCCCCAGACCTCGCCTAGCCCCCCCCCCTCACTCCTTACACCCCCAGACCTCGCCTCGCCCCCCCCCCTCACTCCTTACACCCCCAGACCTTCGCCTAGCCCCCCCCCCCCCCCTCCTCACTCCTTACACCCCCCAGACTCGCCTAGCCCCCCCCCTCACTCCTTACACCCCCAGACCTCGCCTAGCCCCCCCCCCTCACTCCTTACACCCCAGACCTCGCCTAGCCCCCCCCCCCCTCACTCCTTACACCCCCAGACCTCGCCTAGCCCCCCCCCCTCACTCCTTACACCCCCCAGACCTCGCCTAGCCCCCCCCCTCACATCCTTACACCCCCAGAACTCGCCTAGCCCCCCCCCTCACTCCTTAAACCCCCCAGACCTCGCCTAGCCCCCCCCCTCACTCCTTACACCCCCCAGACCTCGCCTAGGTCCCCCCCCCCTACCCCAACCTCACTCCTTACACCCCCAGACCTCGCCTAGCCCCCCCCCCTCACTCCTTAAACCCCCCAGACCTCGCTAGCCCCCCCCCCTCCCTCACTCCTTACACCCCCCCAGACCTCGCCTAGCCCCCCCCCCTCACTCCTTACACCCCCAGACCTCGCCTAGCCCCCCCCCCCTCACTCCTTACACCCCCCAGACCTCGCCTAGCCCCCCCCCCCTCACTCCTTACACCCCCCAGACCTCGCCTAGCCCCCCCCCCTCACTCCTTACACCCCCCAGACCTCGCCTAGCTCCCCCCCCCTCACTCCTTACACCCCCCAGACCTCGCCTAGCCCCCCCCCCTCACTCCTTACACCCCCAGACCTCGCCTAGCCCCCCCCCCTCACTCCTTACACCCCCAGACCTCGCCTAGCCCCCCCCCCCTCACTCCTTACACCCCCCAGACCTCGCCTAGCCCCCCCCCCCTCACTCCTTACACCCCCAGACCTCGCCTAGCCCCCCCCCCTCACTCCTTACACCCCCCAGACCTCGCCTAGCCCCCCCCCCTCACTCCTTACACCCCCAGACCTCGCCTAGCCCCCCCCCCCCTCACTCCTTACACCCCCAGACCTCGCCTAGCCCCCCCCCCCCTCACTCCTTACACCCCCCAGACCTCGCCTAGCCCCCCCCCCCTCACTCCTTACACCCCCAGACCTCGCCTAGCCCCCCCCCTCACTCCTTACACCCCCAGACCTCGCCTAGCCCCCCCCCCTCACTCCTTACACCCCCAGACCTCGCCTAGCCCCCCCCCTCACTCCTTACACCCCCCAGACCTCGCCTAGCCCCCCCCCCTCACTCCTTACACCCCCCAGACCTCGCCTAGCCCCCCCCCTCACTCCTTACACCCCCCAGACCTCGCCTAGCCCCCCCCCCTCACTCCTTACATCCCCCAGACCTCGCCTAGCCCCCCCCCTCACTCCTTACACCCCCAGACCTCGCCTAGCCCCCCCCCCCTCACTCCTTACACCCCCAGACCTCGCCTAGCCCCCCCCCCTCACTCCTTACACCCCCAGACCTCGCCTAGCCCCCCCCCCCTCACTCCTTACACCCCCAGACCTCGCCTAGCCCCCCCCCCCTCTTTTAAACCCCTCCGACCTGGCCTAGCCCCCCCCCTTAAACCCCCACCCCTTTAATCAGTAGGGTTAACCCTACTGAATAAAGGGGTTAACCCTACTGATTAAACCCAAACCCATGAAATTGTCTGAACCATAGTTCTTGAACCATAACCCCTAGTCCTGGCTTAAACCCCACTCCTTAAACCCTAACTCATGGAATATACCTTAGTCCTTAAACCTTAACCCCTAAAACTGTCTAAACCCCACTCCTTAAACCCTAACTCATGAATCTATCTTAGTCCTTAAACCTTAACCCCTAAACCTGTCTAAACCCCACTCCTTAAACCCTAACTCATGAATCTATCTTAGTCCTTAAACCTTAACCCCTAAAACTGTCTAAACCATACTCATTAAACCCTAACTCATGAATATATCTTACTCCTTAAACCTTAACCCCTAAAACTGTCTAAACCATACTCATTAAACCCTAACTCATGAATATATCTTACTCCTTAAACCTTAACCCCTAAAACTGTCTAAACCCAAGGCTCTCAGTCTTAAACCCTAAACCTCTGCCTCAACCCTCATCCTTACACCCTAAACCATGTGCCTATCTTAACCCTAATCCTTCAACCATAACCCTGTCTTAACCCTAGGACTTAAACCTTAACTCATTAACCTTAGTCCTTAAACCATAACCCTGTCTTAATCCTAGTTCTTAAACCTTAATTTATTCATCTGTCTTGGTCCTTAAACCTTAACCCATGAGCCCATCTTAACCCTAGGCCTTGAACCATAACCCATAACCCTGTCTTAACCCGGCCGGGTAGCCGTTTGCGACCCTGGTGCGGCCGGGTACGGGTAGGCCGTGAGTCACTGGTGAGTCACCGTTTGTCACTCATTTCCCAACGTCTTGTCTCTTCTCACAATTCAAGTTCCTAGAATCAACCCACCCGCGCCTGCAACATGGCTTCATCCCAGAGGTCGCAATCGGGTACCCGTACCCGTACCCTACCCGTACCCGCCCAGGTACGGGTAGGGTACGGGTATGGCCGGGTACGGGTACCCATTTGCGACCCTGGTGCGGCCGGGTACGGGTACGGGTAAGGAATCAAAACCCGTTTGCGACCTCTGGGGTGAAGGCCGGCACTGTGGCACACGAGGGGGGTCAGTGGCCGCCTTTGTCTCCCCGAGTGGCCATGTTTCCTACACACCGCGCCAGGTACTCATTTGAGGCCGAGTCGACCTAGGGGAGGCCGAGGACCGGCTCGGGTTCTCCGCCGCCGCCGCCGGCGTTGTGCGTCCGCGAGCAGGAAATCGGAACCGGGCCCGGCGGGTTCGCAACACGCCGTGACCCCGCACTCCGCCATGACCCCGCAAACCTCGCTGACTTGTTGTTGTTGTTTGACTTGCATCCCACTGGGATTTGTGCACACAGCGTTGGTGTACGGTGATTTTTTTTTGCAATATTTTGCTGTCTTTTCTTGGATTTTCTCTTTGCACTAAGTCACATATTCACTTTAAGATGTTTCATGTTCTAGTTTTTTTGTTTGTTGCGGTTGCACCCGATTCAAGAGCCGAATGGCTCACAGGGCTACACCTAATACATGAACTTGAAACTTGAACTTGACTTTTCGCGCGCGCACAGACAGCCATGGCAGCGGCAGAGGTGACGGCTCCGTCGCCGTACCACGCGGGCTACGGCGGCGGTACCGGCGGCGACGGCGTCGGTACCGGCGACGGCGTCGGCGAGGCCTGGAGCGACTTCCCGGCGTGGCTGGCGGCCCGCGGCGTGGGCCCTCGTGCCGCCCTGGCACTGGAATCGGCGCTGGGCATCGGCGACTACGCGGCGCTGCGAGCCTGCGCCGAGCACGGCGCCCTGCGCGCCGAGCTGATCGCGGCGGCGCGCGACCGCCTGCCCTTCGGCTGCTACGCCGTGCTGCGGAGGCTCGTCGAGAGGTTTGTCACCGGCACCGACGCCGACGACGAAATTGATGATGGATTCAGGATGTTTGTTCGTGGTTGCGGGAGGTATCCGATGAGCTGTAAAGCTCCGATTTAGAGCTTTCGTGACTGCAGGGATTCATCTTCTTGGTTCTTTCGGTAAAGTCACGTAGAAGGGAAATAATAAAATAATATAAATAAAACATAATAAAATACAATTCTCACGATGTTTCGGCCACAACGCAAGCAGCCGTCCTCAGGTGAAGACCAGGTCTGTCGTGTTTCATTCAGACGCTGTCTCCCCGACAGACCTGGTCTTCACCTGAGGACGGCTGCTTGCGTTGTGGCCGAAACGTCGTGAGAATTGTATTTTATTATGTTTTATTTTTATTATTTTATTACTTCCCTTCTACGTGACTTTACCGAAAGAACCAAGAAGATGAATCCCTGCAGTCACGAAAGCTTTAAATCGGAGCTTAGATTAGTTTACTTTTATATTGGATATATTTTAAAAGTGATTAGTTTATCTTCTTGGTTCTTTCAGTAAAAATAATAAAAATAAAACATAATAAAATAATCCAATTCTCACAACAGTGAGAATTGTATTTTTTATGATGTTTTATTTTAATTATTTTATTACTTCCCTTCTACGTGACTTTACCGAAAGTACCACGAAGATGAGCTGTAAAGCGTTTTTTTTTTTTGCAGAGATGTCCACTCGGGGCATGGGGTAGGAACGTTGCGTTACGACAACAACGATACGCACAAGCACGGTAGTCAGTGCAAGGTTACAAGAAAGGTTAAACGATCACCCAAACAACGCACAAATGCAACTAAACCATCGCCCATCTTACCAGGCAGCGCCCACTGAGGTGTGAACTTATTTGTCAGAAGCTACCTGGCTGCCGCGAATGATTGCGGCTCAACGAAGTGGCCCATCGATCGGACAGTTACAGCACCAAATGAAACTAAAGGATCTCAATTCACGTCGATTCTAAATGCAGAGGGAAAAACCGGAGGGCCCGGAGAAAAATTCCACGCGACCACGGAGAGAGAGAGACACGCAAACTCCAAATATACAGCATCAGGCATCGTCAGGGTCGCGATCGAACCCACGACCTCCTGCACACCAGGCGAGGTAGTTAACATCTCCTAGCCACCGTGATGATGATGAGAGAGAGACACGCAAACTCCAAATGTACAGTGGGTGCCAGAGTTGGGATCGAACCCACGACCTCCTGTATACCAGGCGAGATAGTTAACATCTCCTAGCCACCGTGATGATGATGAGAGAGAGACACGCAAACTCCGAATATACAGCAGGCGTCAGTGTCGGGATCGAACCCACGACCTCCTGTACCCCAGGCGAGGTAGTTAACATCTAGCCACCGTGATGATGATGAGAGACACCGCAAACTCCGAATATACAGCAGCAGGCGCCAGAGTTGGGATCGAACCCACGACCTCCTGCCTACCAGGCGAGATAGTTAACATCTCCTAGCCACCGTGATGATGATGAGAGAGAGACACGCAAACTCCGAATATACAGCAGGCGTCAGTGTCGGGATCGAACCCACGACCTCCTGTACCCCAGGCGAGGTAGTTAACATCTAGCCACCGTGATGATGATGAGAGACACCGCAAACTCCGAATATACAGCAGCAGGCGCCAGGGTTGGGATCGAACCCACGACCTCCTGCACACCAGGCGAGGTAGTCAACATCTCCGAGCCACCGTGCCGCGGGGTAAAACGGAATGTGATAACGGTGCGGTGGTGTTCCGCGTCGCGCCGCAAGCGTTTCCGAACGGGAGAAGAAAACCCGTCGCCACGCCTCAACGCCGCCCGTTAATTCCACTCGCCGTTTCAAAACATTGCCGCGTGGATTCATTGCCTTGCCCCCCCCCCCCGCCTTCCTCCCTCTCCTCGGTGGTGTCATCGTCGTTACCCCCCCCACACCCGCCACAGCTTTGAGCTGCCGTGCGCCGGACGGTCCAGCGCCGCCAGCGCCGGCGACAGGAACTCGTCGCTGCTCGACATCCTGGTGGTGCTGCTGACGGCGCTGAGCGGGGAGCTGTCGCGCTCCGCCATGCGGCTCAGCGCCCTCGACGCCACCGCCGGTACCACCGCCGGTACCGGCGCCTCTCCCGCCGGCGCCGCCTCTCCCTGTGACGGGCGCGTCTCGGCGGAGCCGCGTGCCGGCGCCGTCATCCAGGCGGTGGACGGCTCCTACCTCAGCGACCACGGTGGTGAGCACCACACCCTCACTGCCCCCGCTCCGTTCCGTACAGGATCATGGGTGGGAAAAAACCCGACTTTTCCAGCGGCAGGTATCGGGTTTTTCTTGAATACAATTAAACACGGGCAATTAGAACCTGGTTTGATGAATACGAAGCTCTGATCCGAGGCCACGGTGGTGAGCACGACCCCCCCCCACTGCTCCCTCCCCCTCCGTTCCGTACAGAATCATGGGTGGAAAAAAACCGATTTTTCCAGCGGCAGGTATCGGGTTTTTTCTTGAACACAATTAAACCCGGGGAATGAAAACCTGGTTTGATGAATACGAAACTCTGATCCGAGGCCACGGTGGTGAGCACGACCCCCCCACTGCCCCACCACCACCCCCCTCCGTTCCGTACAGAATCATAGGTGGGAAAAACCCGATTTTTCCAGCGGCAGGCATCGGGTTTTTTCTTGAACACAATTAAACCCAGGGAATTAGAACCTGGTTTGATGAATACGAAGCTCTTATCCGAGGTAAAGTCACGTAGAAGGGAAATAATAAAATAAAATAAAAAATAAAAAAATAATTGAGAATTATTTTATAATTGAGAATAATTTTATTATGTTTTTTTATTTTTTATTTTATTATTTCCCTTCTACGTGACTTTACCGAAAGAACCAAGAAGATGAATCCCTGCAGTCACGATTCAACCCGGTTGTAAAACAAAACCGCCTGTGCCACCCTTGGTACAGGACCGCCGGGTGAGCCGCGCCACTGGAAATTGCCGGCAATCTCGCTGATGTTGCCGTCACGATTATTGCCACGTCACGTTCCAGCGCTGCCGCCGCTCCTATTTTAATGTTTCCAGGCGTAAGGCACCCACCGAGGCTGACGTGGTCCATTTTTCAGAAGCGAGCTGGCTGTCGGAAATAATAGCTCAGCCAATTGGCTTCTCCTGACCACGTGGGGATTTACAGCGGCAGTCAAACGCTCCAAACGGGTGACCTCGATTCTGAACGTGGAGGGGGAAAACCGGAGAAGAAATCCACGTGAACACCACGGGGAGAGAGAGAGAGAGACACCGCAAACTACAAATATACAGCAACTGGCGTCGTCAGGGTCGGGATCGAACCCACCATTTCCTGTATATCAGGCGAGGTAGTCAACATCTCACAACTGTGATGATGATGATGAGAGAAAGACACCACAAACTCCAAATATACAGCAGCAGGCATCGTCAGGGTCGGGATCGAACCCACGACCTCCTGTATACCAGGCGAGGTAGTTAATATCTCACAATTGTGATGATGAGAGAGAGACACCGCAAACTCCAAATGTACAGCAACTGGCGTCGTCAGGGTCGGAATGGAACCCACGACCTCCTGTAGACCAGGCCAACACCGCTTATCTGAGCCGGTCCTGGGCCTCCCCTAGGTCGGCTCAGCCTCAAACGAGTACCCGGTGCAGAGTGTACGTTAACATCGCCACCCTGGAGACAAAGGCAGCCCGGTCGTGGTGCTGGCCACCCACACCCCCTCGTGTGCCGTGCCGGCATTCACAGGCTCTGCTATTTGACCCAACAGTCTGCTAAGGCTAAACGGGGAGCGGTAGTGCGGTGATTACCAACTCGGCCGAGACACAAGTTTGATTCCCACTCACGGACGGAAAAACACCGGTGACGATTTTGCGAACCGGTCCTGGGCCTCCCCCCAGGTCGACTCGGCCTCAAATGAGTTCCCGCTTCGATGTGTAGCAGAGGTCGCAACCGGGTACCCGATACCCGTACCCTACCCGATACCCGGCTACCCGTACCCAGCCGGGTACGGGTTCCCAGTTTGTAACCCTGGTGCGGCCGGGTACGGGTAGGCCGTGAGTCACTGGTAACTGTTTGTCACTCATTTCCCAACGTCTTGTCTCTTCTCACAATTCAAGTTCCTAGAATCAACCCACCCGCGCCTGCAACATGGCTTCATCCCAGAGGTCGCAATCGGGTACCCGATACCCGTACCCTACCCGTACCCGGCCAGGTACGGGTAGGGTACGGGTACGGCCGGGTACGGGTACCCGTTTGCGACCCTGGTGCGGCCGGGTACGGGTACGGGTAAGGAATCAAAACCCGTTTGCGACCTCTGACGTGTAGTAAACATCGCCGCTGGGGAGACAAAGGCGGCCGGGCGTGGCGTTGACCACCCCTCGCTCTCGCAGCACTTGCCCCGACAGTCCGCTGAGGCTACATGGGGGGAGGGGCGGTGGGGGAATCTTTGTCTTTGTGCGGCTGCGCTCTGCGCAGAGGGCATGGACGAGGAGCAGGAGGAGCTGCCGCTTGCCGACGACCAGGCCGAGTTCCCCGGCATCACCGCCGAGAGCCACGGCTGCGGCGACGGAATCACCGGCGGATTCTACCCGGGTGGGTGTGTGTGTGTGTGCGTGCGTGTGTGCGCCTGTGTGTGTGCGTGTGTGTGTGCGTGTGTGCGTGTTGTGTGCGTGGTGTGTGCGTGCTGTGTGGTGTGGCTGTGTGTGTGTGCGTGTGTGAGCTGGTTCGTGTGTGTGTGTGTGCGTGTGTGTGCGTGTGTGCGCCTGTGTGTGTGCGTGTGTGTGTGCGTGTGTGTGCGGTGTGTGTGTGTGTCTTTGTCGTCTTCCGCGCGGAAGTTGCTGGAAATCCGCGTGACGCGCATCACGCGGATCCCGAGCTGCCGTCGTGGAAATCGCGTTCATTTTTTGACATTTATAAACGCGGAATGACGCACCGTTGGAACGCGCCCATTATAACACGGAATTGCGCACCATTCTAACGCGTTGCGCGTGTCTCCGCGTTGCGCGTGTCTCCGCGTGTGCGTGTCTCCGCGTGCGCGTGTCTCTCCGTGTCTCCGCGCAGGCCGTGACTGCGACGGCGTGAGTCGTCACCGTCCGGGCTGCGTGGGGCTCCCCGCCTCGTCCCCCTTCGAGGGAGACGGCGAGGCGCTGGGGGCGGCGGCGGCGGCGGCGGCGGCGTCGCGCCCGGTCAAGGTGGAGATGATGGACGACCCCCGCGCAGGTTACTGGCCCCCCGGGGGGGGGGGGGAGGGGGGGGGATACCCCTGGAAAATGCAACCACACGCGTATGTCATTTCATCGAGACCCACAGACTCACACAGAGACCCATAGACTCACACAGAGACCCATAGACTCACACAGAGGCCCATAGACTCACACAGAGACCCATAGACTCACACAGAGGCCCATAGACTCACACAGCAGCCCATAGACTCACACAGAGACCCATAGACTCACACAGAGGCCCATAGACTCACACAGCAGCCCATAGACTCACACAGAGACCCATAGACTCACACAGAGACCCATAGACTCACACAGAGACCCATAGACTCACACAGAGGCCCATAGACTCACACAGAGACCCATAGACTCACACAGAGACCCATAGACTCACACAGAGGCCCATAGACTCACACAGCAGCCCATAGACTCACACAGAGACCCATAGACTCACACAGAGGCCCATAGACTCACACAGCAGCCCATAGACTCACACAGAGACCCATAGACTCACACAGCAGCCCATAGACTCACACAGAGACCCATAGACTCACACAGAGGCCCACAGACTCACACAGAGACCCATAGACTCACACAGAGACCCATAGACTCACACAGAGGCCCATAGACTCACACAGCAGCCCATAGACTCACACAGAGACCCATAGACTCACACAGCAGCCCATAGACTCACACAGAGACCCATAGACTCACACAGCAGCCCATAGACTCACACAGAGGCCCACCGACTGGCATCGCCACCGGGGCGGTGATTCGCCGCTGTGCTGCTCCTGACGCCAGGGGCTCGGCAACCTGAAATACCAAGAGGGGCCATTTCGTGAGAATTCGTTGCGCAGTTAAAAAAAAACACACGCACAATATTTCTGGTAGGGTACGGATATCGGGTACCCGATTGCGACCTCTGGGATGAAGCCACGTTGCAGGCATGGGTGGGTTGATTCTAGGAATTTGAATTGTGAGAAGAGACAAGACGTTGTGAAATGAGTGACAAACGGTGACTCGCCAGTGACTCACGGCCTCCCCGTACCCGGCCGCACCAGGGTCGCAAACGGGAACCCGTACCCAGCTGGGTACGGGTAGCCAGGTATCGGGTAGGGTACGGGTATCAGGTACCTGATTGCGACCTCTGCCGTGACCCCTCGAGGGGGAGGAGGAGGAGGGGGGGGACCGACCGGTCGAGGTGTCGCCACCAGTCGCGTCGGCGTCGCGAGTTCACGACCCGCCTCTCACCCCCCCCCCTCCCCCCCGTCCCCCCACACCGCCTCTCACCGACCCCCTGCCCCCCCCCCCTGCCCCCCCCCCCCCACACCCCCTCGGCTCGCAGTCGACGTCAAGGACGAGGACGTGGGGGGCGGCGGCGCCAGGCGGCCCGCCGAGTGGGGCCAGGGCGGCTCCGTTCACGACGACGGTCACGGCGGCCATGACGGTGACGGCGGCCATGACGGCGATGGCGGCGGTGACGTCAGCGGAAGGCAGCGCTGGTGTCACGGTGGGTGGGGGGGGGGGGGGGTGGTTAGCGCCACGAACCCGGCGACCTCCGGTTCGATTCCCGCTCACGGCCAACGCCGGTGACGGTTGTTTGAACCGGTCCTGGGCCTCCCCTGGGTCGACTCGGCCTCGAATGAGTACCTGGTGCGGTGTGTAGTAAACATCGCCACTAGGGAGACAAAGGCGGTCGGGTGTGGTGGTGCTGGCCACCCGCCCCCCTTGTGTGCCACAGTGCCGGCAGCCTTCATAGGTGCTGCTACTCGCTAACAGCACTTGCCCCAACAGCCTGTCACAGGCTACACGGGGGATCTTTGTCTCTAGTCCCTCGCTCAGACTGTTGTGCCGTGATCTGCACGTCCCGTCCTGTTGGGAGAGGTAGAGCGGCGGGTCGATTCGTTCATCAATTGGTTCATCGCGTGACGCGCCGTGAACCCAGCGGCCCGGGTTTGACTCCTCGTCAGGGCTGACTCAACGTCGGTATACGGGCGACATCCAAACCTCACCCCCCCCCCTCCACCGCCTTCACCACTTTCACCGAAGCCGGTGAAGTATGGTGAAACGGCTCCGACGAGAGGCACGGTGTGTGGGGTGAGGTGGGGGGCCAGGCTGCACAGTGAGGGAAACAAGTATTTGATCTTTCGATTTGAAGCTTTCGTGACTGCAGAGATTCATCTTCTTGGTTCTTTCGGTAAAGTCACGTAGAAGGGAAATAATAAAATAATAAAAATAAAACGTTATAAAATTTCGATTTAAAGCTTTCGTGACTGCAGGGATTCATCTTCTTGGTTTTTTCGGTAAAGTCACGTAGAAGGGAAGTAATAAAATAATAAAATAATAAAAATAAAACATAATAAAATAATTCTCACGACGTTTCGGCCACAACGCAAGCAGCTGTCCTGAGGACCGAAAGAACCAAAAAGTTGACTAATATCACCAATAACACGGGATGGTGGTGGTGGCGGGTTGAACGACACATTTATATATTTCGCGCGACCTAACCCAAAACAAAACCTGTGTTATGGTTTAATGTTTGGGCGATCATACGGTGCGCGACTTTGACTGCTGCTACTACCGTCGTACGCACGCGCGCGCTGAGATGTACGGGAGACGTATAACCGAGGGTAACGGCCGCCACCGCCGCCGTTACCCCGTCACTCTGTACCACTCAGCCGCAGCAGCTCACCAACGTTGTTCCACGTTGATAATTGTTTTTTTACCCTTCTATCTGGCAACAAAACTGACACCTTTTTTACAAGGAGTCATGTTTGCATAGACCACAATACCTGCAGTCGTAATGCAAACAAAAAACACAACTCTGATAATGTATGCACTGTCCTTGAAGTTGATTGGTCCACACCCGAGACAGCTTTCCTTAGAGCCTAGTCTCACATGGTGTTGGACCAGATGACGCTATAACGGCGCACGCTTCTCCCGCGTTATAACCGCGTGCCGTTCCACGTCGTGCCAAAAGCGTTGCCGAATGCCAGAACCGCAGCGACCAACGGGCGCCCCGGGCCCATCGCTCGCCTCGCGATCAAACGCCGCCCCCTCCTCCTCCCGCCCCGCGCTGTGCAGACGACGACAGCGGCGTCGCCGCGGGGGCCTGGGACTCACGGTGGCGCCACCACCACCACCCCCAGCAGCACCAGCAGCACCAGCAGCACCAGCAGCACCACCACCACGGCGGCGGCGGTCATGACGGCGACGCGTACGGTGCCGTTCCCTCTTCCTCGTCTTCCTCCTCCTCGGCCGCCGCCGCCGCCGTCGTCGCCACCGCCACCACGCCGGCGCCCTCGCACCGCACCGCTGCTCCGGACGGCGCCGCGGGGCCGGCGCGAGGGGGCGCCAGGAGAACGTTCGTCCGGTGGCGAGGCAACGGCGCGCGGCGCCCCAGCCAGGATCACGACCACGACATCGACGTCGACCACGACGGAAGCGCCGGCGTCGACGACGACGACGACGGAGAAGAAGAAGACTGCGGCGGAGACGGCGCGGGGGGCGCCGCGGCAATGGCGCTTGGGGCCCCGCAGCAGCAGCAGCAGCAGCAGCGGCGGCCCTTCGTGTGCACGAGCTGCGGCAAGGCGTTCAGCAAGCTGGCGGTGCTGACGCTGCACACGCGCACCCACACGGGCGAGCGGCCGTACGTGTGCACGCAGTGCGGGCGCGCGTTCGCGCAGGCCTCCAGCCTCGGCTACCACCGGCGCACGCACACCGGAGAGAAGCCGTACGCCTGCGGGGGCTGCGCCTTCCGCTGCGCTCGCTCCAGCAGCCTCATCCGGCACCAGCGCGTGTGCAGGCGGCGCAACAACAACGGCGGCGACGACGACGGTATCATCGGCGGCATCGGCGGCGGCATCATCGGCGGAATCGGCGACGACGGCGGTATCATCGGCGGTGGCGGCATCATCGGAGGAATGCTACGCTACTGACGTTAGCGATTCGGCGAGGTTGGCTACGTACGGCGGTGCGAAAGAGGTTCTCCATGCGTAGGCTTGCGCAGAGACCCATCGACTACTCGCACAGAGACCCGTAGACTCGCACAGAGACCCATCGACTACTCGCACAGAGACCCGTAGACTCGCACAGAGACCCATCAACTACTCGCACAGAGACCCGTAGACTCGCACAGAGACCCATCGACTACTCGCACAGAGACCCGTAGACTCGCACAGAGATCCATCGACTACTCGCACAGAGATCCATGGACTATTCACGCAGAGACCCACAGACTACTCGCACAGAGACCCGTAGACTCACAAAGAGACCCATAGACTCACACAGAGACCCATAGACTCACACAGAGACCCATAGACTCACACAGAGACTCATAGACTCACACGGAGACCAATAGACTCACAAAGAGACCCATAGACTCACAAAGAGACCCATAGACTCACACAGAGACTCATAGACTCACACAGAGATTCGTAGACTCACACAGAGACCCGTAGACTCACACAGAGACCCGTAGACTCACACAGAGACCCGTAGACTCACACACAGACCCATAGACTCACACAGAGTCTCATAGACTCACACAGAGACCCATCGACTCACACAGAGACCCGTAGACTCACACACAGACCCATAGACTCACACAGAGTCTCATACTCACACAGAGACTCATAGACTCACACAGAGACCCATAGACTCACACAGAGACTCATAGACTCACACAGAGACTCATAGACTCACACAGAGACCCATCGACTCACACGGAGACCCTGAGTTTGTCACGTTACCCGTCGGTGGACACGCTGCAGGATGAGAGATTCCCAGAGCCGGGGCTCGAACCCAGAACTTTGAGAGGAGCTGATGCCGCCGCCGCCACCGCCGCCGCTGATAACAAGACTCCCGGAGCACGAAGCCGGATTGTCCGTGGCGCGAGGTCACAGCGAGCTGGTGTGGGACATCGACCCTCGCACCCCGATTGCCTGAGATTCCCAGAACCTAGGCCGTGAGCCTACCACGTAGCCTCCGAGACGTTCACTAGGCACCCGTTGTGGTTTATCCACTCCCTAGGGGCCCACGAAAGTCGAGGACAAAATGTGACTACAATCGACAGCGCCAAGCGAATTTGCTGGGCAGTTGCGAGATGTTAACTCCCTCGGCCGGTATGCACGAGGTCGTGGGTTCGATCCCGACAATGGCGATGCCTGCTGCTGCTGTATATTTGGAGTTTGCGTGTCTCTCTCTCATCATCATCATCATCACGGTGGCTAGGAGATGTTAACCACCTCGCCTGGTCTACAGGAGGTCGTGGGTTCGATCTCAACCCTGACGACGCCTGCTGCTGCTGCTGTATTTGGAGTTTGCGGTGTCTCTCTCTCTCTCTCCTCGTGGTCGCGTGGATTTTTCTCCGGGTCCTCCACTTGTTTTCCTTCCGCGTTTAGAATCGACGTGACGCGTTTAGATGATTTGGCTCCTGCTATCAGTCTCTCCACGCTTGTGATTAGCCTCGTCGCTTCTCAAGAAAGAGCTACAGAGCTCGGTTGGGGCCTTACCTGGTCAACTAAAAATAGTGTTGGTTTAGCACGCGGTCAAGGCGCCTCCAGTACACTTCTAAGGTCAAATTTCGATGTAAAGCTTTCGTGACTGCAGGGATTCATCTTCTTGGTTCTTTCGGTAAAGTCACATAAAAGGGAAATAATAAAATAATAAAACATAATAAAATAATTCTCACGACGTTTCGGCCACAACGCAAGCAGCCGTCGTCAGGTGAAGAACAGGTCTGTCGGAAAGACAGCGTCTGAATATTCTAAATTCCTCTGTTGATATGCAAATTCCTTCGTCAAGGCGCCCTTCCTCCTCCAACCCAGCTTAAATATACGCTGCCAAGCTTGGCGGTGTTCATTCGGACGCTGTCTTTCCGACAGACCTGTTCTTCACCTGAGGACGGCTGCTTGCGTTGTGGCCGAAACGTCGTGAGAATTGTATTTTATTATGTTTTATTATTATTATTTTATTATTTCCCTTCTACGTGACTTTACCGAAAGAACCAAGAAGAAGTTAGCCGCCGCCAACGGCCGTGGCTAACTCGGCGCGTGGCAGTTTCCGGCGTCGATGACGGCGGGAGATTTCCCCCGGTAAAAGCCGGGGTGGTCACGCGAACTCCGCCTGCGATCCGATCGGACGTCGCCCTTTGCGCCAGTTGGCAATCGGGGAGCGGCGAGAGGAAGATTCACCCTCCGGATTTGTAACGAAAAGTACGAAAGGCCACATCCCCCGATACGTTTGTCCGACCGGTGACGATCTCGGGGTTAAACGGCACGCCCCCCCCCTCCCTCCTCCCCCGTTTCTTGGTGTCGCTGTGAAGTACGGCCATTTACCCAAGATTCTAAAAATTGTCAATAAGTGTCAATGACGGTGACGTGTTTCTGTTACAATTTGTATCTACGATCAGACGCGAACAAATGCTCGTAACGTTTATATTTTTCCGCAAAAACAACGCGCAAAATAGTCGGCTTGATTCTACTTCTTATATTTAAAGACGCGCCCCCATCGGAAACCGCTCCATTTAAAGATTCCGTTATTTTTTTATGAGAAAGAACTAAACTTAGTTAACTTAATAGTCTCGGAGGGGAAGCTCTCCTTTGACCATTTTCGAATTAATCAGATTTGAAGATCATGAAATGCGGATTTTTTCATTGGTAAATGATTTCAAAAGCAATGGAAAGAACCAATGGTTCTCGCTTTAACTTGATTCGCTGTTTAACGCTCCATCAATCGAAAAAAAATGCAGTCATATCTTGACCGGTTCCCGAATGACACCACGCACAAACATGTCCATGGGGCGCTTAAAATCGAGATTTTGGGGCCTTTAGTCGAAAAATCTCAGATTTTCAGATTCGGTTTCCTGTTGGTGTCCTAAAAATCGACCTGCGCACCAAATGTCGGCTTTCTGCCTTGTCGGTGAAACACCCCAGAGCTTTTAGCTGAGGAGACGTACAGACTAAGGTCTTTATTTACATATAGCAGATAATATATTTTTTTTTCCTCTTTTTGGATCGATCGTTATCGACGGATGTGCCGAGAAATGTCTTTGGCAACCCGCGTTCACGCACCACTGCCAAGTCTTGCGGCATCACCACCGCCACCACCGCCGCCACCGCCACCACCGCCGCCACCGCCCCCACATCATGTTTTTTTCTCGCCCCCCCAACTCCCCTACGGTTCTAAAAACCGCAGCTCTCGACGCCGGTGTAGCGGCAGACGCTCGAAAAATTGCCCCGACGGTATCGCGGCTTTCCAGAGAAGCCCAGCGTGCCGTCCTCCTGCCTTCACGCGGACATCGGCACCGGATACAAACACATCGGTGATCGGTGGCGTGCGGTGAGGTCAATGGCTACTGGGGAGGCATTGGCGAGTGTCAGAGCCAGATTCACACGCCGAGGGGGGCGTGGCCTCGTGGAGGGGGGCGTGTCCTCACTGAGGGAGGCGTGGCCTCACTGAGGGGGGCGTGGCCTCACTGAGGGGGGCGTGGCCTCACTGAGGGGAGCGTGTTAGACACGTCAACCTCAGGGAGGCATATTGTTAGGTTTTTTCGGTAAAGTCACTACGTAGGTAAAAAATTAAAATTAATAAAAGTAAAATAAAAATAAAATAAAAATCACGACGTTTCGGAGGCAACACAAGCTTCCGTCTTCATAAAAAGAAATAAATATTTTTATTTTACTTTTATTAATTTTAATTTTTCACCTACGTGACTTTACCGAAAAAACCTAAGAATATGAATCCTAGACTCAGTGAGGCAGATGTGATAGCTGCCTCCCCTGGTGCACTTTCATTGCAGTTTCACGACGAGACCAGCGAGCCTAAATATATTTTATACACGTACGTGAAATAAGTTACCTGCAGTATGGAAGGCGAGGACATGAAATGAAGGGGTCTACAAACATTACATTGGTGACATACTGAGATGGTAACAGGCACGCGCTGATTGCCCGCGCTCCATCCAGTTACTGAGGGGTTGCGCAATCAGAGGGGAGGCTGAGCTCGTCGCTGCCTCACCTCTCGTCTATTCCTGTATTTGCAGCGGAGCTCCACAAATTTGGCGATTTTGACGATAAAAATTATTGGAATCGTACAGAAATGACATTAATAACGCAGATCAGTGGAGAAATCTTAATATTTATTTAATTTTTCTTTATACTTTTCGTAAAGGCGATTTTCATTGGAGCATGACGGGTGAGGCTCTGACTCCCCCTGCCTCCCCTGACCGCACGTCCCTGTCGGTACTATATGCGACGCTGCGTATTGGCTCATTAATGCTCAATAACGGCATTTACGTTATTACGTGATTCAGATTTGCACCCGATAATTGCATTCTTACGTAATAATGTAATTATTACTGGGATTGGGTGTGCCACCCGCCACAAGTTGTGATTTTGCCCCCCCCAAAAAAAACCGTGCGACGCTAAAATGTAGCCGACGCGACGATTGCCGACGACCACCGCTTGCTGCCCCCCCCCCCCCCCCCGCGACTTTCGTCGAGCGCGGTTCGCGACCCCACCGCGTCGTTCGCGACCCCACCTCGCAGTTCGTGACCCCACCTCGTCGTTCGTGACCCCACCGCGTCGTTCGTGACCCCACCTCGCAGTTCGTGACCCCACCGCGTCGTTCGCGACCCCACCGCGCGGTTCGTGACCCCACCTCGCAGTTCGTGACCCCATCTCGTCGTTCGTGACCCCACCGCGTCGTTCGTGACCCCACCTCGTCGTTCGTGACCCCACCGCGTCGTTCGTGACCCCACCGCGCGGTTCGTGACCCCACCGCGCGGTTCGTGACCCCACCGCGTCGTTCGTGACCCCACCGCGCGGTTCGTGACCCCACCGCATCGTCCGTGACCCCACCGCATCGTCCGTGACCCCACCGCGTCGTTCGTGACCCCACCGCGTCGTTCGTGACCCCACCGCGCGGTTCGTGACCCCACCGCGTCGTTCGTGACCCCACCGCGTCGTTCGTGACCCCACCGCGTCGTTCGTGACCCCACCGCGTCGTTCGTGACCCCACCGCGTCGTCCGCGGCGAGGGTCACGTGCCGGAGGTGCTCGCCAATTGGCAAATTCCCCGCGGGCAAACCATGCGGGGGTGAGGGGGTATGCTACGAATAGCTTGTCTTTTTAAATGAATTTTAACCTTAGACGAAAAATATATATACGGAAATAAGCTATTGAATAACATGAAAAATAATGTCATCACTTTTATCTCTCACCACTTTAACGCATAATTTAATCTCATCGCTTGCTCTCTCTCTCTCTCGATGCGGTATCCGCGTAGCGTTCCAGATGCGATTTGCGGATAGCAAGTTTGTGAGTAACGAGCAGAGAGACTTTTTGACTTTTAAACAACTCTTATTGCCTCCAGCAGCAAAAGCACCGGAGGCGATTCCAATATGAAAACCAGTCACCAGCAAACGAAAGAAAACAAATGTTACATATCGTTACAAATCTACGTGTTGTGGTGCTGAAAGCACCGCACACAACACAAAAGAAAAAAGTCACGTGGTTGTGGTGTCATCGCGCACGCCACGGTGACGAGCGAGCGTTTCAGAAAGTGAACACGAGGGTGCCGTCCACGCTGGTGCAAAGGGCCTTTCCGAGAGAGAGAGAGAGCGAGAGACAGAGCGAGAGAGAGAGGGAACGAGAGACAAGAGAGGGGGAGAGAGTGAGCGAGAGAGTGCGCTAGAGGGGGGGGGAGGGTTACATAAAGCCCAGTTAAAAAAAAACATTTACGAAATGATGAACGAAGCAAAGTGCCGAATACACCGAGCATCTTATTGTTTCCAAGTATTACCCGACAACGAACTCGAGTGCTGAGGAGGCCGATCAGGAGGGCGCCCGCTACCCTGGGCGCCGCCGCCACCTCGGCGTTCCCACCACCAGGCACAGCGCCATCTCCGGCGGCGCTGCCTGGTGGTGCACCGCTGCCTGGTGGTGCACCGCTGCCTGGTGGTGCACCGCTGCCTGGTGGTGCACCGCTGCCTGGTGGTGCACCGCTGCATTGCGGTGCCGCAGCCGCGCCGCCAGCAGGCCCCGGAGGAGCCGCTCCTGGCGCTGGTGCCGGCGGCGGCAGCGGCGGTTGCGGCCGACCCAGACTGCGCCGCTCAGCGCCGTCGTCACCGCCGCCGCCGCTGCTGCATGACCATGAATCGGCCTGAGCTCCTGGCAGCGGCGGCGGGAGCAACAGCAGCAGCAACATCAGCAGCAACAGCAGCAGCAACAACAGCAGCAGCAACATCAGCAACAACAGCAGCAGCAACAGCAGCAACAACAACAGCAGCAACAACAGCAGCAGCAACAGCAGCAGCAACAGCAGCAGCAACAACAACAGCAGCAACAGCAACAACAGCAGCAACAACAACAGCAACAAGAACAACAACAGCAGCAGCAACAGCAGCAACCGGTGGCGGTGGTGGCGGCGGTGGCGGTGGGCGCTGGCGTCGAGCGGGAGGAGGAGGGGGACCTGCGCCGTCGTCTCGAGCACTCGGCGAGACTGAGCAGGGCGCTGCTGCGTCTGGCACGGAGACAACAATTGGCGCTTGTGGCGGGCGGCCTGGTGCCCACTCGCACGGACACACGGGCGGCCCGGTGCCCACTCGCGCGGACACACGGTAGGCCTGGTGCCCACTCGCGTGGAC